GTGCTCATCTCAGTTTCAAAGCCGAAGAGCCAGCGCTGTCCAAAGACATCTCTGTGGTCGTGTGGCTGGCATGACCACACCTCAACAACTGAGCCACTGAATAGAATTACCCCTATGAGGAAGAGGGAGCTGACGGGCTTGTGGTCGCTCGTTTTTAGTTCCATGTGGCTGCGGTATTGGAGCTGGTTGATGTTGCCTCCCCTCCAGAGAATCCGGTCGCACCAAGCGGGCACACGGCATTTTCCACTGGAAGGAGAGAGGATCAATATCAGGGATATTCTGGAACGCTGCAGGATGCTCATTATCCTCCATGGTCTCCGGAGTAAACAAATTGCAATTCATGGGATCCATCCTTCTATGGGATCTATCTTCTCATTCCCCCCCCCCCCCAAAAACCCCAAAAGTTTTGTACAAGACCATGTACAAAGGTCGAGATTCTTACCTGGATTTAACTATTGGGGCGAGATTCTTACCTGGATTTAACTATTGGGGAGAGATTCTTACCTGGATTTAACTATTGGGGTGAGATTCTTACCTGAATTGAACTATTGGGGTGAGATTCTTACCTGGATTTAACTATTGGGGTGAGATTCTTACCTGGATTTAACTATTCGGGCGAGATTCTTACCTGGATTTAACTATTGGGGGAAGATTCTCATCTGGATTTAACTATTGGGGCGAGATTCTTACCTGAATTGAACTATTGGGGTGAGATTCTTACCTGGATTTAACTATTGGGGTGAGATTCTTACCTGGGTTTAACTATTGGGGGAAAGATTCTCACCTGGATTTAACTATTGGGGCGAGATTCTTACCTGAATTGAACCATTGGGGTGAGATTCTTACCTGGATTGAACTATTGGAGTGAGATTCTTACCTGGATTTAACTATTGGGGCAAGATTATTACCTGGATTTAACTATTGGGCCGAGATTATTACCTGGATTTAACTATTGGGGCCAGATTCTTACCTGGATTTAACTATTAGGGCCAGATTCTTACCTGGAATCCCAGCGATCTGTTTTAGAGTCATATTTGTACGTGGGGATAAACTTGATTTCGCCTTCTGTGAAATCGGCAAAAGCTGCTTTTTGGGTACGCTGAATATTCAGCTGCAGGCAAAAGGCAAACAGTCAGTCAGCTGCTGTCATTCAGACCATCTAGTATTGACAGGGGGGGCCATGAAAATCGTAACTCTGCCTGTCACATGACTTTGGTGTGGGTGGGTGGGTGGGGGTCAACCACCCTTATTCAAAAGGCAGGAGGCACATCATGGTGGGTCTAGGACAATTCTCCATGGCCAACCCACCATGGCGAACTTGCCATGGCCATTTCGTCCAGAGGTGGGTTGCTGCTGGCATTACCACCAGTTCAGTGAGTGCGTAATTTGATCATAAATGCAATGTGCAGAAGCAAAAAACAAGATGGTGGCGCCGTAGGAGAGCCAGTTCGGGGGCCTGGCAAGCCTTGGTTGCTGCTGGTTCCAGTGACCCAGGCTGCCAAGCTACTACCGGTTTGGCTGGACCGGTCCGAACCGGTTGGAACCCACTACTGATCTCGTCAGTAGTGCAACTCACTGAGGGACGAGAGTTATTCTAATATCAAATAAATGGTGGAATAGAATCATTAAGGAAGGGATGCAAAAGGAGGGACAGGATGAAATGTGAACGGCAAAAATTGGAATACATTTGTACTGATTTTAAATAAATAAGTGGAATTGTTAAGTTGTCCCGCAGAGAGTTGGCTGTGGTGAATTGTCCCGTTCCTCATTGTGTTGCCTCTCTTTCTCTTGGAGTAGGAACATTAAAAAGCAAATAGTTGGGTGTCTAGGCATGTAAGAAACAGCTGCTGGCCACAAAACAATGAAAGGAAGCTTAAACTTCCAAGCAGCCAATAAAAAGCTGGACTTTAATGAATGTAACCCAAGCCTTTGCACTAGCGACACACGTTAGATAACAAAATGAGTTCCAGATGGCACAATCATCACAATGTGAGCAAATCGTATGATTAAACCACGGGATGAAAGGCGGTCTGAAGGCCTGTCTGATGGGGGAAGACCCATATCCAAAAGGAAGGGATAGATATTTCAACTTTAAAAAGAGAAGAAGCTCCAGGGAATTCCTCCCCACCTTTCCCTTCTTACCTGGTCAAATGTGAGCAGTTTCTGGAGCTCGTTTTTACTGATTAGATTTTTTACATCATTGGAGTCCGGGAGGCAAAGTCTGTAGTTCAGATCTCCCAGCCAGATGACAACACTGAAAGGTACGAGAAAGAGCAGAGAAACGATTAAGAGCCGTGGTGGCGCAGTGGTTAGAATGCAGCATTGCAGGCAGCCTCTGCTCACTGCCAACAGTTCGAGCCTGACGGGCTCAAGGTTGACTCAGCCTTCCACCCTTCCGAAGTGGGTAAAACGAGGACCCAGGTGGTTGGGAACAGTAGGCTGACTCTGTAAACCGCTTAGACAGGGCTGTAAAGCACTGTGAAGCGGTATATAAGTCTAAGAGTTATTGCTATTACAGAGTTCTTGACGTCGCCAATGTGGAGTTTTGCGTGACCCGACAAATGCGCGCCCGACAACAGCACGCTGACAAAACCGCAGCGATAAAACCACAACGTCGACAGCGCGGCGACAAAGGCGCGCCGACAGAAGCGCAATTAGGGTTAAGGTAAGGGTTATGGTAAGGGTCAGGGTTAGGTTCAAGGTTAGGTTTAGAGCGCGCTTCTGTCGGCGCAGTTGTCGGTGCGCTTCTGTGCTCATTCGTCGGCGCAATTTCAAACTCGTGGTTTTCTCCCTGCGGTTTCGTCGGCGCGCTTTTGTCGAGCGCGCATTTGTCAGTGAACCGGAGTTTTGTTCAGCAGATATATTCTCATTGTTCCCAGAGATAGAAATATCTGCCTCTACCTAGGATTGAGCCCACAGCCTCCCGATTGTGAGGCGAGAGCTCCACCTCTAGGCCACCGCACCACTCATGGCTTGGGCTTCAATGATTGTGTGTTACTTCACTGAGCCAACCGTGTCCCTTTCTTCTTTGCTTCAATGGAATCAATCATGCAGCCCCCGTGGACTTCTCTCCCCGCCACCCGGGTCCCGCCCTTCGGACGCACTCGTGTTTCATGATGGTCAGCTGGGGCAGATTCTGGTCGGGAACCTGGAAACTCATGCGGGCGCAGATGTCCTTGTAGTCTTGATTGCGCTGCTCGAAGTTCTCCACGTGGGCAGCCAGGTGGGAGTTGACGATGCAGAAGCTGGTGTTGTGGAAGACAAACCGGACGGCCACACCACCTTTGTTGCCCTGCAGAAGGACGGACAGAAGCGAGGGGAGAAAGGAAGAGCGGAAGGAAAGGGTCGGTTAGAGGGTGTTCTGACCTAGGCTTCACCAAATCACAAAACAGACTCCTTGTCCCCAAAAAACCCCCTCTTCTTATTTGGTTAATGTGAATTCCTAGAATTCACATCCAGAAAAGTCCCCGCAAACCGTCTTTCAAGGGTGAATTGCGACCACAGACCTTATCAGGCTTGGAGAGCCTGCCAGGCCAACAGCTTCCAAACCAGAGGTGGGTTCCTACCAGTTCGCACCTATTCGGTAGAACCGGTTCGTCAAATCTACCGGACCGGTTAGAAGAGGTTCCACCAGTGGACCCGGAAAGCAGGCCATACCTACAGAAGAGGTTCCAAAAATTTTTGAAACCCACCACTGCCCCCACACACACAGAGACAGACAGACTGACAGAGAGAGAGAGAGAGAGAGAGAGAGAGAGAAAAGAAGGAAGGAAGGAAGGAAGGAAGGAAGGAAGGAAGG